GATTATTTACATTAGGTTTACTGTACAAACACAACATAACAGAGGTAGACTGACATCTGACAGACATCAAGATATTTATATTTATTTAATGGTTAATTTTGGAATCACCTTTATTTAATCTAATATTAAGCCATTTATTTGGTTTTAATGAAAGACAAGTTTTGTACGTTTAATATTTGGCCTACAGACATATTCTGAGCCACTGCAACAAAAAACAAGGGTATTAAAATGGTGGTTGTTTACATAAATAGCAATATTATTATTATTATGATTGATAAATACTATTATTATTGTTGTTGTTGTCGTAATATTAATAATTCATCATAACTAAAGTATTTATAATATATGCTTTAATGGTTTATTGTGTGTTTTTAAATGAATAAAAAGTTTTTTAAAATTTAATATTTGGCCTACAGACATATTCTGAGCCACTGGAAAAATAAAACAAGGATATTAACACAGTGGTTGGTTACATAAACAGCAGTATTATTATAATGAATGGTAAGTATGCTATTATTGTTGTTGCAGTTATATTAATAATTAATCATTACAAACATATTTATAATACATTAATTATTGGGTTATTTTGGAATTAAAACAATGCAACAATGAAACAATAGTATTAAAACAATGGTTGGTTTTATAAATAGCAATATTATTATTATGACTGACAAATACTATTATTATTGTAGTGATGCTATATTAATAATTCATCATTATTGAAATATTTATAAAACATTCTTTATAATATATTCTTTTAATACTCGTGTTCAATGAACTCTTGTTAGTTACATAAATAGCAATATTGATATCACGACTTGCAAATACTATCATTGTTGTTGTTGTGATTTTAATAATTCATCATTACTAACATATTTATAATACATTATTTATTGGTTTATTTTGGAATCACGTTCAATTAACAATATTAAGCTATTTATGTGTTTTAAAATGACAGTGAATGAAAAAAAATTTAAATATAGTTTTATATCTGGCCTACAGACATTTTCTGAGGCAATGGAACAATAAAACAACATATGAACACAGTGGTTGATTACATAAATATATTATTATTTTGAATGGTAAGTATACTATCATTGTTGTGATTTTAATAATTCATCATTACTAACATGTTTATAATACATTAGTTAATGGTTTATTTTGGAATCAACTTCATTTAACAATGTTACGCCATTTATGTTTTAAATGAAAGACAAAATTTTTATGTTTAATATTTGGCCTACAAACAAATTCTGAGCCACTGCACCAATGAAACAAGTGTATTAACACAGTGGTTGGTTAAATAAATGACATTATTATTATAGTATTATCACTGTTGTTGTAATATTATTAATTCATCATTATTAAAAATTATAATACATCCTACGTTTTCATTGCAGGAGACCACTGATTAGTCAAATAGCAGTATTAAAAAATATAATAATATTTGATTTCTTTTTGTAATTACAAACCAGAATAATCATACAACTTTCTTTAACATATTACACATTAGAACAAAGATTAAGTAATTATTCACTTTAATATATTAATATAATAAATATCATTATAATTCTCAACATTCATAACTGGATTACAAATAATACAATTAGCTTCCATGGTAATTGCCACTTAGGATGGTAAGACACATAAAAACAAAGATTAAGTACTTAACCCCTCATATTGTTGTTGTTTTGTAGCTATTTTAATAATATTTTATACATACATTTTATATACATTTATATAAATAGATTATATATAAGAATAGAGTTGAATATGGTGAATATATAATAGTGTGTATATAAAAAGTACTTATTAGATGTTTAGCTTTCATTGTAATAGCCCAAGTTGGTTTTGTGTTATAAAGGCGTATTAAAACCACAGAACTCTGCACACTAAAGCAGAGCACTCAGAAAACTCATCAAAACTCTAATATCGAGTTCGAGTCCTCTAAGGACTTGTTTTCATTTTGTTCGACAAAACTTTTTCAAATCAACAAATAATGATTTTTGAAGTCTGTGGTCTTACAGTGGGTACCATGGATAATAAAGAGACCAAATCCTTTCAATAAAAAAGACTGTCAGAAGAGGCCAGCGAACGGGCGGCGTTTATAAAATGAAGTGAAACACAATAAAAGTTTCAAGTCCGACTCAAAGCCTGAGAGGCTGAAACCAGCGAAAGCTCGCGTTCTTAGTGACACACACACGCAGTCGAGCACGTTTCCAGTACGATCAGTGTGCATTTCTCTCCCGGATTATACAGTCACGACTGTGGTCAACTTTTGCCTGAACTTACCCGCTCGCTTCCTCTCGGCCGCTCGATTCCGGTCCTGCTCTCCAAAGCGCTTTTCAGATCAACTCCTACAAATATCACATCTGAAGAACAAAGTTGGTCCAGACACGAGATAAGCGCTGGTCTCGCCAGGCTCGTTTGCAGGTCGAGTCTAAGTAAATGTCATGAAACTTTTCTCTTCGGTTCTGCCTTCCTTTCCTCCCCCGGCCTGCCCCCCTTTTCCACGGTCCAAAAAAGTCGCACTTCCGCGATCGAATGGCTGCTGCTTGTATCATGTGGTTTGGCGTCCACGAGAGCGCCCGCACCTGGTGCTCTGAGCGCGCGCCCTTGACCCGCTTTGTAGCGTAGACGATTCATCGTTAAACAACGACAATCTTTCCCTAAACAGGAATGTGAACTCATCCATGGACTTTCCCGGGCGATCGAGGGCTTTATTGACTAGGAAAGTACATATAATGTCATATCACAATAAGCTTAGACTGCTTTTGTCCTACTGTATGGCATGCTGTTCATATCATATAAATATATCAACAAAGTGCGTTTATTGGCACTGTTTTTATTTTAAATAAGAATTAGGTCTCATGTCAAACGCTTAATTTTTGTTTTTGTTTTCAATAAGAATATTTTTTTTGCAGTAAAAACAATATCGGGTACATTATGTAATTTATTTTGTATTATTTTTATTTTATTAATATGTTATTAATAACTTAACTGAATTCATTTTAAAAAATTTATTAGAATTTTTTGTTATTTCTTCATATTTTATACATAAGTATGGTGATGATGATGATGTTAAAAAAATCATTTAAATTAACATGATTTATTTTTGGTTTGGTGATTGTTTGCTTATTAACTTTAACCTTTCTACATTCACACTGCATATCTAAATGATATTGCCAGAAGCCACTAATTTAGTTTTGCCTCTAGCAAAACTTTTTATTAAAAGTGTCAGTAGATGTTGACTCACTTTCTATGAATCATCACGGTCCAGCTTCAGATAAAAATCTCTTAGTCACCCACATTTTAGATGTCCAGTGTCATGTACTAAAGGACATATTATATCACAAAGCTCCAGCAAACAGCATTTCAGTGAGAGATGTGAATGCGCATTTCATTGTTTGCACCTGCTGAAAGAATCAGCACATTTCGAGCTTGACAAGAGCTTGCACATTGTTGTTATTGTTGTGTTTTGACTGTGTAACATACATTACTGAATTAAACAATGCTAAAATGTAGCTTTATTTTATTTTTGATTGATACAAAGTCACACCCATTTGGCAAAAATAAAAATATTTTTGTAGATTTGCTTGGTTTAAATTGTTTTATTGTAGTCACACTGATTTATTAATAACAATACGATGTTTTCTGTGTTAAATAAATTCTTAATTAAAATCAATTCATAAAGTCAGATAAGTCACTCTCATGTCGCCACCTACTGCTGAAGACAACACTGAACGAATCCGTGAGTGAATCAACCGATTCACTATTATGAATCACAACCCCCCCTCCGCTAGAGGGAAACATATGAAGGTTTGGAACTGAAACATCTTTTCCGGGTTTCAGGACTACAAACTAAACAGCACTACAACAACAGAGCAACAGAGAAAGTGCCCGCAAAACTTTATTGGTTGGTTATAACGGTGGGGTTTTCAAAATGGTCCGCGTGTGTGCTTTTCCAGGATGCTTTAACCGTGAGAAACCCCTCAGACTCCGTCAGTCGGCGTCATCGCACGAGGAAAGTTTGACTTTTCACTCGTTGCCCCTTCAAGACTTTAAAAGGTTGAATCTGTGGCTGAACGCTGTTCGTCGAGACACAAAGTCCTCAATTCGGAACATCCGTGGACTGAGGGTGTGCAGTGAACATTTCGCACAGGACGATTTCAGTCTGAACAGAGGAAGTAAACGACGACTGAAATCAACCGCTGTACCGAAATGTAATGAGGTAACGTTTATGTGTGGAAATAAAGTTAACACACTGCAGTTGAAAACATTACTAGTTTTCACCATAAATACCCAGTTGATTATGTTCCACATGATGTGTGTATCTTAAAATGTAATGTTTAAACTTACAAATGCCACTTTATTAAATATATACTAATTTAACTACGTTTCTAGTATTGTATTTCATTTTTTTTCTCAAGGTTTTGACCCACTAATTCAGAAAAAAAACAATGCAAGCTGCTATAATAAAAAGGTTTGGAATACTATTGTTGTTGTTATTTATATTATTATTAATAATAAAATAATAATATTTTTATTAGTAATTACTGTTACTATTTAAAGTGGAAGTTATTCTGTCAAGTTTACATTTTCTGTCCACTACAACGAAAACCTCTAACAATCACAAATAATGTAAAACACTATTCAAATTACATAATTCAAAAACATGGATGCATTTATTTGGTCATGGGACAGACTGCAGGTGAACATATTTTCACACAACAACTTTACCCTTCTGTATTTGCACATTACATCCTTTATTTACTTTATTTCACTTGTATGTTTTTTTTTTTACTTCTTTCTCTCTTCTTTAAAATGTATAATGCAGGTTGTAACAACATCCGTCTTTTACTAATGTTCTGAGTTTCTGTAATCTATTGTTGACTGTTTTTGAAACCAATAAGAAATTGCATATTACATGGAAGTAAAAACAAGTATATTACATGAACGTCGCCGCTTTCACTTCCCAAGGAAGTATCCGCCTTCTTTAAGGTGATTGGTCAGTTTGTTTAGGAAGTAAATCATCGCCTCATTTCAATTGGCCAAGACACGTCACGTGACGGTTGTACAACCAAGTTTCTTACTGACCGAGCAGGCTGTTATGCGAGTTCTCGCACGATAATACACATTTACAAAACAATTCCAACGTCGGAAACGTAGAATCAGGTTCAGCTTTATTTTTCGCACTGTGTTGGTTATAATCTTCAGCTGCGTTTAATGTTTGCGAATAGCTTACTCTGGTTTCACGGTACGGACGTGCGGCGCACTTGGGACTTTGACATCACACATACAGTATGACCGCGACGATACCTTGAGAACTGTAATGCAGTCATTGATTTGCCTGATTCAGTCTTCAACATGATAAATGATCTATTATGTAGTTGTTAGGTGGTCACGCAGTCCGGACAAACGCCCGTATACAGTTACATGCCGACCAGGTAAGAATGACGATCATAAGTGTGTTTGTCTCTGCTTTTGATACATTGTATGTTTATATAATATCAAGCTGCTGTTGCAGCTGTTTCATTTCATTGGCTGATGTCTAATGGCACAGATACAAGAGATTAGTCCTGTGTACTTTTCTCCCTAAATAATATAGTTAATGTTAATAATCAACATTAACAATAATGTAATAATGTAATTAATAATCAAGTTAGTGGACTGGATAAAAGTAAAGGGAAAACCGTTTGTCAGATTGCTCTTAGTACGAAGTAGTTGTGTAGCTTTACTTCAATTCAGATTAAGTTATAAAATTACAGTAGTAAACCGAGCAAGACATAGCATAGCAGATCTGAAAACATAGCAGTGACCGCTGTTTCTTTCTTTTTTTTTTTTTTTGACTGATATGTGGAAATTTAGAGAAAAAGTAATAATGTGTATGTAAAAGTTCAGAAGCTTTGAGCTGAAAATTGTGTTTTTGTTATGTATTGCACAATTATTAAAACAAAAGTATGATAATTTACAATTGATAATTTAATTATGGATATAAAAATCATAATATAATGATTTACGTTATTTATAATATTATTTATAATCAGAAATAAAATAAAATAAGTTTCATGTTTCCTGTGGATATTTGTAACTGATAGACTAAGATTGTCTGATTTATGATGATAATAGTATATGTAGTTGTTATCCTGTAGTTGTAATACTATATTACTTACAATAATAAGTTAAACAAATAAATATAAAAATTATAATTGCTCTGTAAATAAACTTAATGAGTATTTAAGAAAATTATCACATTTCATGATACAGTTGGGTAGGGGTGCCCAAACTTTTTCTAATGAGGGGCCACAAACCAAACTTGATTGAGGGTATGCCGAAGGTAAATATACTAAATTAAGGTTTCCATTGGTAATTTCTTAATCTATTTAATGTACAGAAATAACTAGAAAACATTGTTTATAATAGCCAATGCTGTATATATTTAAACATTTTCATAATGATCTTATTACTGTTAAAAACAGTCCCATTTATAACAAAATGGAGTTACACTAGTCAAGCTGCACTTGTTTTTGCTTTGATTTCTTATGTGACTATTTATATTTTAAAAAATCTGATTAATTTGCAAATATGTAATTGAAACATTTAATTTCATATAGATTTTTTTGTGGCTCAGCAAAAAAACAAACAAAATAGGTTACATTAAACTAGAAATTACAATATCTTTTAAAGGCATTTGCTCCAACCCTTCCCATCATTCTCACTCTCCTCTCAGATGGGATGGTGTGCCAAGTCAAATGATACAATGTGCCAACTTTGGCCCGCGTGCCCTAGTTTGGGCATGTCTGCTATTGGATGGGGAAGTTTTATCCCAAAAATGAATAGTCTGTCTTTTCTGTCTGACAGAAAATTCCACATCTGCATACGACTCCGAACATTATCTCCAATGATTACTTGGTCATCAAGCATACAAAGGTCAGACAGCCCAGTAGGCTATTTAGAGCTGACCCCAAATCAGTAAGAATGGTCCACTAAAGAATAGAACACACACAAAGTACAAACTGTTTTATCCTTGAGGCCGTTTCTTGTGCTCTCAGCCATCTTATTAACACTGGTAGAATATACATCTTGCCTCTGGCAGCTAACTAAGCATAGAAATTCTCTTTCATACATTAGAATCATTAACCATACATTAATATTATTTATTCTTTGACGCACAGTAAAATTCTTATCTAGTGGCTGCTGATTAAGTACCACAAATGTCCAGTTCCACATGAGAGGTTCCCTTCAATGGGCTTGAAGATCACTTGGCATACAGAAAAAGCAATGACATGCATATGATTCATATCAGAAAATCCCCTCCCTTTAATACAATTGTAAACATAAAATAATATGTGAGATTATACTCTTACACAAATATTTAAAAAAATATTTTTTTTTTACCTTAAGAAAATATTTTGGTGGAACCTTTGGAGTTCCTAGTACTGTTTGTGTTTAAACAAATTATTTATAACCTCTTTTCATTGAAAAACATTGGAAGATGATTGGTGCATGTTTAACTTACAAATATACATTACATTCCACCTAAAATAGGAGCGCGTGCAGATAAGTATCATGCTGCTCTATGAAAACATGGGACCATTATTGATTGCAGGTTCGTTATTGCACTAAGCCATTTCATTTTCTTGTCACCTTAGTCCCTTTTTTAATCCGGGGTCGCCACAGCGGAATGAACCACCGTCTTATCCAGCACGTTTTTAAGCAGTGGATGCCCTTCCAGCCGCAACCCATCTCTGGGAAACATCCACACAAACTCAAACATCCACACACACGCTACGGACAATTTTAGCCTACCTAATTCACCTGTACCACATGTCTTTTGACTGTGGGGGAAACCAGAGCACTCGGAGGAAACCCACGCGACGCAGGAAGAACGTACAAATTCCCCACAGAAACGCCAACTGAGCCAAGGCTCGAACCAGCGACCATCTTACTGTGAGGCGACAGCACTACCTACTGCGCCACTGCGTCGCCCCTCTAAGCCATATCAGGATTTTTTATTTATTTAGATAGTCATGCAGACTACAAAATATTCAGACTTTTGTGCTTGTTCCCAACAGACCTTCTCCATCTGTCTCTTCCTTTTTCTTTCTCTACCTTTCTTCTGTGTCATCATTTTCCGGCTGAATGCTGCAGGCATTGCCTCAGATTAGGAGAGCGGTCAAGAGGGTTCAGCGAATTGGAGCCCAGATCATCCCAATGGCTCAGAACTGCAATACATCCTCCACACAGAAAAATGGCAGCGCCACAGCAGCGATTCTCATCATAGGAGATGAGATCCTCAAGGTAAAGAACAGTAGCTTTTGACTACACTCACCGGCTCACTTATCTAGGACTGCAACAAGTGATTTAAATAAATGTATTAATCTAAGAATCACTTACATTCATCCTATTCGAATCCAAATCGTAGATACTAGTTAATCAATATTTCAAAATGTAATTTCCCATTCTTCGTGTTGTCCACCAAACAATATGCAATTAGAAGGTAATGAATTCCAATAGAGTGACTGTATTTATCAGTTGTAAAATGTTAGTTACATGTTGAGAAAGAAAAAAACTTTATAAGACTTTATTTGGAGTGCATGCTTAATGGTCCCATGAAATTAAAATAAAGTTTTTAAAATGTTAGAATCAGTATTATTTGTTTTTAGGATATCTATTAGCTAGTGTGCCCCAGAACAGTAACAAAATTCGTATTCAGAAGATTTAAAACTGATATAAACATGTAAAGCTTGTCAGGGGGCCTGCAGGTGTTTTATTCCATGGTATGCACAAATCCAGCACTGCCCTGCCCCCTTCCCCCAGTCATGTCAAGAAACACTGATGCTAACTGTCAAAGGCTACATTATTTATGGGCATTTGTTACGACATAATTTGTTTCCTTTTTAATTTTAATATTTCGTTGAAATCTAAATGTAATAAAAGCACATCAGCACCAAGGATAAATCGTGAGAAGTAATCTTTCAAATTATGACATAATAAAAATTGCAAACATATGACAGAAGATTGTGATACAATACATTTAGTGACGCTTTTATTAAATCCTTACTTTCCACTGATCGAAAATCAAAAATAGACAATAAATCTCAAACAAAAGTAGAATTTGTATATTTTTCTTGGAAAAAAATATTTTTTATTAATGTTAAAAAAAATTGTAACGATTTTTGTTTATATTTTGTCTCTTTGTTTGAATATTTTTCTTGGTCATCTAAATATTTTTCTTTGTCAGTTATTACAGCTGGATCTGATCTGTCTGATAAAAGAGACAGTTTCTCCGGCTCAGGTGCTGATAAGACTAAAACACACAAACACACCCCTTTATTTGTTGTCATTCTTTCTTTGGCAATATATTGCAGTGTATACTGTTTAATAATCAATTTAAATTATCTAATAAAAAAATATAAATAAAAAGCAACATTAATTCCCGCCCTGTCTTGGTAGGTACGCACAGTGTGTACAGCTATACCATACAACCTGCCGGCTGCAGGTGCCACTGAAGCTTGTAGTTTTTCACTTCCGCCCAAGTGGATCAACGGTTTTATTTACGTCATCTAACACTACAATTTCTCATCACATCATAAACAATCAAATACTCTAGTATCTGACATACCTCACCCCTTCAAAATGCTTCTCATTTGCTTTCATTAATGCACTTGAGCTCAACCACCTTCACTGTCAGAGCTGTGATAAAACAAAACAGTATTGATGGTTTTTTAAAAAGGGGAAGAGCTACTCTGTCCCACCCTCTCATCCTGTTTCTGTTGAGATGACATCAAACATCAAATAAAATAGCATATTTTAAAGTACTTCACAGGACCTTTAAAGCCCACATGAACCAAAATATGCACATTTTTAAATATCAGTATGTTAATGTACTTCACACTGGAACGGAATATTGAGTAATGGGTGAGGCTTTCTTTTTGGGGATAATTCACTCAAAGCAAATTAATGGCAAGAGGGGTGTGGTTATAAATGTGGCTGAAGCTGTCAAACTGAGAAGAAAAGGTTCAAACTTTGATTTGTAAAAAGAATTCTCATTGAACAAACTGGCATTGATTAATTGTTATCCTTAAGAATTAACAATATGCACCTGCAACATAAATGTTGTACAGTTTGATTACACACAGTTTTTATTATAAAGCACTCATTATTAGGATAACTTGAATAATAACGATTAACAAATTAACCAAAGAAGTGTCTGGGGAGAGGGAAGTCTGGAGTTCTCTCCTAAAGCTTGGTTTATACTTCTGCGTCAAGTGACTGACGTAACCCACGGCGCATGCACAAGCGTAGCTGTGCATTTATACTTGTGCGCGCTGTCTCTGTTGGTCTGCAATAACACTTCAGAAATGCTAGCTGGCAGTAAGGTGTAAATGTTCCTCTGTGTTGAGTTTCTTCGCTGCTATTTTGCTTTTACTGAACACTTTCGGGATGTACAAGTGGCTTAAACTCGCTCATTTTGAGGCAGGAACCGGCGGATAACTTTAACTATGAGGTAAACACAAAAGAAAAAATTCCATCCGGAGCTCCTTCACGGGACTTCACACTTGTAAACAATCGCTCCATTAGGCTTGCACCATTCATGTGGCTCTCGGTCCCGCCCAGACTCGTCAGCGCTACCAAGCTGACCAATATCAGAGCTTGCGCTACGCGTCGTTGTAACATGTAGTTACATTTTTTTGAGAAGTGCACGTCAGCGATGCAGACGGCCACGGCAAAGGGCTATGCGTCAGCGCCGTAGCATACGCTGACGTTTGACACAGAAGTATAAATCAGCCTTAAAACTGCTGCCCCGCGACCTGGCCCCAGACAAGCGGATGACATTGACATGGCAAATGTGATGTTGTTGATTTTCATTATTAGAATTTATTAGATTTCTGCCCTTCAATTACTCTTTGCCTTCGGTTTTATATGACAGTTAAGAAGTTTACATGAATTTTTGGAACCCGTTTTCCAACAGTTGACAGAAGTTTTCACTTGTGGCGCTGAAGTAAATTCTTTTAGAATCACCTAGAAAGCAGAAAGTTAAAATCCTGTGCTTTCATTTCAGGGTCACACTGTCGACACTAACAGTGCCTTCTTGTGTCGTGGCCTTCGAAAGCTTGGCATCACAGTGGAGCGCATCACTGTGGTACCGGACGTCCAGGAAGTCATCGCTAAAGAAGTATCTCAGCTTTCCTCCACCGTTACTCACCTCATCACATCAGGTGGCATTGGTCCCACCCATGATGATGTCACTTTTGAGAGCGTTGCTATGGCATTTGGAGAAGAACTTTATGCCCACCCTGAAATGACAAAGCTAGTGGAGGGATTTTTTGGTACAGTCACTTCTGACAGTGCCCCCATGAAGCTTGCTATGGTCCCAGCATCTGCAAAACTCAATTTTGGCATAGACCCTCAGACAGGCCAACGAAACCGATTCCCGCTAGTCAGCGTTCACAACGTATACATATTTCCTGGCATCCCTTCTCTACTTGAGAAGTCTTTCAATGGACTTAGCCATCTATTTTCAGGGTCTGGTACCACCTTTCACACCCGTGAAGTATTCGTGAATGCAGATGAGACTGAGATAGCCCAGAGTCTCTCAAAACTGCAGGCAGGTTGGGGCAAGCGTGTCTCTTTGGGCTCTTATCCAGACTGGCTTAGTAATTATCATCGTGTCCGACTGGTTCTGGACACAGACAGTGTAGAGGAAGTGGAACGGGCTCGAACTCAATTAATAGAAGAGCTTCCTAAAGGATCGGTGGTTCCCCTTGTCACTGACCCGATCTCTGTCGCAGCTCAAGAGGTTTACTCGCTCTCTAAAAGTGGTGAGCTTCTTTATATCCGTATTTAAGAGCTCTTGTTACAGTTTTTGATCTTGAGATTTAAATCTGTTTTACTCAGTTGAGAAAAACCTTGTTAAACTGGTGTGAAATTAGCTGTAAGATTTGAAAGCTTGCCTCGCCTATTATCTTCCAGAGACACAGTTGGGGAAGAAAGTAGCTGCAGCATTGGGGACCATTGAGATGGCGTTGGATAAATATTCTGTTAATGAGATCTGTGTTGGCTTTAATGGTGGCAAGGACTGCACAGCTCTACTACATCTATATTATGCTGCACTGAAACGGTAAGAAAGATAAATTAAGGATAAAGAGGATGACAAAAAAGTCTACGGGGCAGATTTACAGTAAAAATAATTTTGTGTAGTGCCTTTTTTGTTCAATATATGGTGACTTTTTATAATTTAAGAAAAAAGTAATTTCAAGGCTGCCTAAAAAAAAAAAAAATATATATATATATATATATATATATATATATATATATATATATATATATATATATATATATATATATATATAATTTTTTTTTTCTCAATTTTTTTTTTTTTTTATGGATCATTCAGTACCAAAAACAATTAAATTTCTCCATTCCATTGGACAAAATGTATCCTTTTAAGTCTTGTTGAGATTAACATGAGAATGACGGATTAGTAGGAGACCTCCAAAACAAAAATGGCAATCATTAAAATAGTATAATATGGGAACTATGTTTTAAACTATAAAATCAATGATCAATAATTTTAAAATAACTTATAATTATTGTTTATACAATAGTTATTCTGCTAAAACCTATGTACAATACAACTACAAAACTGCATACAGTACATTTAGTATTTATTACCTTAAATTAGGGCTGCACGATATTGGAAAAATATAACATTGCAATATTGTTTTTATTGTGTTATGAATACATTTTTATTATACGAGTTGAATATCTATTTGGAAAGAATTTACAGTGTATCTGGAAATTATTCATAGCGCTTAATATTTTTTTTTTTTTAATGTTACAGCCTCATTCCAAAATGCATTAAATCCTAAATGTATTAAACTCATTTATTTCCTCAAAATTCTACACCCAATACCCAATAATAACAATGTGAAAGAGTTTTTGTACATAACATGTACATTACATGTACATAAGTATTCACAGCCTTTGCTCAGTACTTTGTTGAAGCACCTTTGGCAGCAATTACAGCCTCAAGTCTTTTTAAATATGATATCACAAGCTTGGCACACCTGTCTTTGGGAATATTTGCCCATTCCTCTTTGCAGTATCTCTCAAGCTCTCGTAGATTGGATGGGAAGCGACGTTGTAAAGCCATTTTCAGATGTTCAATTGGATTTAGGTCTGGGCTATTGGCTGGGTCACTCAAGGACATTTACCGAGATGTTGTAAAGCCACTCTATTGATATTTTGGCAGTGTGCGTTGCATCATTGTCTTGCTGAAAGATGAACTGTCAAGAGCACTCTGAACCAGTTTTCCATTCAGGATGTCTCTGTACATTGCTGCATTCATCTTTCCCTCTATACTGACTAGTCTTCCAGTTCCTGCTGTTGAAAAACATCCCCACAGCATGATGCTGCACCACCATCTTTTTCACATTGTCATTATGGGGTATTGTGTGTGGAGTTTTGAGGAAATAAACGAATTTAATACATTTTGGAATAAGGCTCTAACATAAGAAAATGTGGAAAAAGTGAAGCACTATGAATACTTTCCGCATACACTGTATCATTTTAGATTGATTGGGATGATTCTGTGGGAGTACAGATGCATAAAATATATCAATCTGCAAGCAACAAGATTCAATAAAGAAAAAGATACCAATTAAAGAAATGGTAATTGATTGTTTTCTGATGAGTTGAACTGAGTTCAGGTGTACAATGACACATTTGCTAAATGATGCATTATAATCCAGACTCAACATTTGCGAAATGATAAATTATAATCCAGACTCAACATCTGCGTATGCTCCTGATTTGACTATTGTGAATTATCACATTTGCGGTATTGATGCTGAAATGAACAGAAGATAGAACAGTCTAGCTTAAGTTCCACAGATAGCCAGTGGTCATGTTGAGCTTATTTGGGCTTTTTCTTGCTCCTCCACTAGACTCGCATTGGATGTGCTGATGTTCTTTACAGTACTAAATCAAATGCAAGCGTCATATATCTTAAAAAAAATGAATATGCCTTGATTTAGTTTTTTCTCTCTCTACCTTTTTACATGTTTTAGGAGGTATCCAGATGGTAAAGACCGACTAAAAGCACTGTACATTCGCATTGTCTCTCCTTTTCCAGAAATGGAGAGGTTTTTGCAGGACACAATTAAAAGGTAAGACAAGACTCATTTAAAAAAAAAAGCTACAGCTGTGATTTAAGGGAAGATATAACAGAAATCTGCACTGTTTTTCTTACCTCCTAAGTAGGTAAAACACTGACTGGTGTCTTTGGCATCTCTCCCAGGATGGTTTGGCTATATCAGAAAACAGTATGCGTAGACGCTAGATTTAGTTTTTCTGATTCAAACAGCTGTTCTGATAAATTTCCTCAATAGTGAAGTTTTCAAACAGGCTGTGAGCACTTGCAAAGCTATTCTGCTGATGTTAGTGCCCCCAGTCATGCTTGTTTACCCTCATGTATGAAATAGGATCTGGCTCCATTCAGTCTAAACTCGCTTGTGAGAGAGATGTTAAAGTGAGAAGTGCCTTCTGCAAACCCTAGCTGACAGTTACTTAACCATGATGAGTCAAACATGGATCCTGCACATCCTGGCCTCATTAATTCATCAGCGTCCATCAAAGCTCCATAGGTGTAATTATTTGGCACAACTCTTTCCCTGTCTTCTGTAGGTATGACCTGGAGCTGTTCTCAGTGGAGGGCAGTATTCGGCAGGCTCTGAATGAGGTGAAGGAAAGGAGGCCAGATTTAAGGGCAGTTCTGATGGGAACGAGACGGACCGACCCTTACTCTCACACTCTGACACCGTTCTGTCCCACAGACCCAGGCTGGCCTGATTACATGAGGGTCAACCCACTGCTGGTAAGAAGGAAATGAAATGTTTGTGTGTGCGTGTGTGAGAGAGAGAGAAAATACAAAAGAGATTTGTACATATGGTGTAGGGCAGCACAATATATCGTTTGAGCATCGATATCGCGTTATGTGGTCCGCAGTAGTCACATCGCAAGATATGCAAGATATGACCAGACTCTACAGGTCAAAACACAAGATTTGTTTAGACACTGCAGAATTGAACCATAATAGAGTGAAAGTTTATCATCTGCGTGTGTTTTTAAGGACTGTGATTGAGCATTTTAAGATTTCAAAGCATTTTAGTTGTGCATAAAGAAGTTTAATAAAGGTTATTTTTATTGATTTACTTATACGATGAAGACTAGACAGTGTTATTTTATGTTTAATTATTCGATTTCTGTACCTGAATACTGTTAGACTTTCTCCAACAAAAACATCATCCATGGTTTGTTTTACTTTAATATTTGCTCCATTGTGTTTATTTACGATTGTAGTTACTTATATGTATATAATTAATTACACTAAAAAGATATTTATACTTCACTTCCCAGTCAAAAGTAATGATTTAGCAAATAATGCTATTTAATACTGAGTTCAGACTGCATGATTTTAGCCATGATTTTGACTCGCTGACAAGTTTTGATAAATTGCAGACAAATGCCTGAAATCACAGGTACACCGTTTCTCATTCACATAACAATCACACAGTATGAACTATCAAAGATGCCATCTGAGAGAATCGCCAATGAGACGCCGAAACCCATGAGATATTTTGGTATGCTATATATCTGGAGCTGTCAGCGATTCAAATCATGCTGTATGAAACGTGTTCTGATTGAAAATAACATCGGCGATCACCTACAGCCAATGAGAGAGCAACATCCACTAGCGTGGGTGTCTGCAGGCCAGCAGGAGAATGAGGGAGAAGTTAAAAGTGCTTCTTTTCAGTCTATTTGGACTGAAAGAAATGGAGAAAACTAGCGTAAATTTGGCAGGAGATTCTGTCTGTTTGATGTGTCATTTGAGCAATACAAAAACCGGGTCGAAACAGAAAAAGGCGAGGAGAAATTGTGAATTTCCTTCAAAAGCCAGGTGAGCAAAATAAGTCCATTTTCCACCCCACTAAAGGCTTCTTTCTCATTATGTAGTTAATAATAAAATATAAAAAATATAAATATATATGCAAAATATATGTTTCCATGTCACGTCTCGTGTGTGTTTGGTTGTAAGACGTATTTGCAGACAGAGACAAAGTTGTCGGCAATTCTTCCTATTGTAAAGTCATATAGTGTGAAACCCCCTGTCGCCGATCTATCTTGCAGTGTAAACACAGCAGCAACGTAACGCTACCCCAGATAGTCATGCAGAGTGAAAACATCTGTGACGCGACTTCTTCAAAAATTTTGCAGTCTGAACTCGGCACAAATCATCTGGTGAAATTGTATTTATAACGCACAATATATCGCAGAGAACAAAATTTCACAATGTACATTTTTGCCTTTATCATTTAGCCATAACATGGTGTATTTAATATGTGCTTGTGTCATATTTACTGTATATTTTGTAAATATTTTTGAAAAATACTACCCTACTAACATGTTTTTTTTCCATTCTAATGCGCTTCTTTTACATAGTTTTTCAATGTCGGCATTTGCATGGTGAACATGCATAAATATTTTACGTGCATCTCACATGCATCACGGTTTTAGATGAAGGTGCGCAAAGCTCTGCTTTCAACGGTATCCGTTTCAAAGCAATGGACCAATCAGAGGAACGTGGACAAGGGCTTACTGCCTGTGACTGCTTTTTAAAAAGACATTCTTACAATAAAAGCAGCTATATTTGTGCAATTATTAAATTTAAATAGTTCGTGTAATGCAGATTTTTCTTCTGCCATTACTCCAGTCTTCACTGCCATTTGTCCTTCAGATATCAGTCCACAATTTGCTGCTTAAGAAACATTTTAGAATATTTGCATTTCTTTTTTAAACAATGTTGTTATTTTGAACTTCTTTTGACCATATAGAGCAAAATGTGTTGTTTTAAAGATTAAAATTCTTCATATAAATGTAAACAAATGTTTTATCATTGATCATTCATTCATTCATTCATTCATTTTCTTTTTGGCTTAGTCCTTTAATTAATAAGGGGTCACCACAGCAGATTGAACCGCCAACTTATCTAGCATATGTTTTACACAGCGGATGCCCTTCCAGCCACAACCCAGCACTGGGAAACACCCATACACACTTACTCACACACATACACTAGGGACAATTTGTGCTTATTTAATTCACCTGTACAGCATGTCTTTTGACTGTCAGGGAAACCGGAGCACCCGGAGGAAACCCACAACAACACAGGGAGAACATGCAAACTCGACACAGAAATGCCAACTGACCCAGCCAGGGTTCAAACCAGCAACCTTCTTGCTGAGGTGACAGCACTACCCACTCTGCCACCATGTTGCCCACATCACTGGTCATCGAACACCAATAATGATTGATCATAACAATGATTGAGCAGCAAATCAGCATGTTAGAATGATTTCTGAAAGCTGATGTGAAGTTTTGTGTTTAATCGAATAAATGCAGCCCCTGTGAGTAAAAGACACTGTATATCATAACCATATAAGCATGTGTAAACACAACTACTGACACATACAGTCAAAAACAAAACAAAATAAATAAAAAAAAACAGAGAAAGGGGTTCACCCATCTTCCAACCTAGTTTCTCTAGTTAGTAAATCACTGTCATGTCTCCCACTCGCTCTCATGTAAGCTGGCAGCAGAAACATCCAAGAGATGGTGAATGATGATGAATGAGGCTCTCCAGGATCATTACGCAGCAACTCCATCATCCTAATCAGTGGTGCTTATGTAAAAGACACGGCAGTACAGCATGTTCTCAGAATTACAAATGACCCCAGATCAGTGTTACTTATGCAACTTTTAGTTGGTTGCCTAATATTCTCTATGGCTTTCTCATTTTGTAGGAATGGACATATCATGACATCTGGTCGTTCCTGAGAACACTGTATGTGCCCTACTGTATTCTCTATGACAAGGGGTGAGTGGCTTTTCTTTACAATCAGTCTCCACTCTTTAGATTAAATTTTCTCCAGTTTGCTTATGGCCCTGTTTTTCTTCTCAGATACACTTCTTTAGGTAGTATGGATAATTCATACAGGAATCCATCTCTTAAAATGGTGGACGAGAGGGGAGCGACCCGCTATAAACCAGCCTACATGCTGGAAAATGAAGAGGAGGAACGCAACTCAAGGGAATGATGATTCTTCGGATAAAGTTTTTAACCAAGGCCATTTTAACTACCTGTGGTAGTTTGTGTTGTGCCTCTGCCTATGAATGTTGTGAAGGAATGTGAGAAGTATCACTGTATGCTGTATTTAAGATTCATATTAAAACAGTATCAACGTGTCTTCTTTTTAAATCATCAATCTTATGACCAGTGGTAATATTCATGATTTGTGTTTTGCACCTGAAAGAGACTGCGAATTTGCTCTGCATCATCTGAGGAAATCTTTAGTTGGATAACATGGAAAACTGAATGGTATGTTAATTATGTATTGCGTAAGTTTCAGCAAACAAAGACGTAAAAACAATAAAACTGAGTTTTACTTGTGTTGACATCTAGAGAACCTGTGAGGGATCATACTCATTCATGCTCGTCTCCAGGTAATGAAATGCAGTGTCGGTTTCCGGCCTCACGGGTGCGATGTAGATACGTTGTAGTTTTTTTTTTACAGTATGGTTGTTGTCCGTTTAAAATCTATAATACTATCATAATTTACTCCTTATCCAAGCTAGAATTAATCCAAGACAATTTATATTCTCCCACGGTCAGTTAATGTTAAATTCTCTTTTTGCATTGTACAATTCATTTGATAAAAACACCGATATAGTATAATAGCCCTTTTATATAGGCTACATCAGGGGTGTCCAAACTCGGTCCCAGAGGGCCGGTGTCCTGCAAAGTTTAGTTTCAACCCCAATCAGACACACCTCAGCTAGCTAATCAGGCTCTTACTAGGCCTAGAAAAATCGTGTTGAGGCAAGTTGAAGCTAAAACCTGCGGACCTCCATGACAGTTTTTACCTCTTGGCTACATAGTTATTAGTTAAAACAAACGCAAATAAAAATGTTAGGCCGTCCAGTATTCTAGTTGATGGTTGTGAAATTTAACCATACATGCAAGAATGAGAATATAAATTAATTTGTTTTGTTGAACTAATACGTTTAAATGTCTGCCAATATATAAGGTTTAAAATTTTTTAATCTTTCAGATGCTTTTTAGGTAGCACTGGCTCTGGTGCAGTGATACATTATAATTGTTAAAATAGGCTATGAAATATTTAAGTTTGGAAAAGTAACTACATACACAGGTAAATATGCTCCAATTTCATAACAAGTGCTGAAAAAATAACATGGTGGAAAGTACATGTTGCTGGTTCTTGGTTAGTTCCCATGGTGTTAGGGACTAACCTACAGATCCAAAAAGGTGTAAAGCCAGTGTAAAGGGGTTATAGATTATTTAAACGGTCTAATACTGCTAATAATGCATTATTACATGTAAACAATTATGACACTGAAATTTTATTTCTGAATTTGTTTTGTTTTTATCAAAGTTAAATGCCAAATTATGTTTGAATTATTTACGTTTATTTAATTTACAGTAACACAAAGAAAAGCTATTGTTGTAATACGTGATTCCCACAAACATGGTTGAAAGTACAACTCGTGTGAAATTAAAATGAAAAGTGAAATTAAAATGAAGGTGTAAAACATATAACAAACTACTGATACAGCAAAGTTTGTCTACGGTTTTATGAAGGCCCACCCACTTGAACATATCTGGCCCCGCCCCTGAAGCAGGTGTCTATGTTCAAACATGCCAACACTCTTTATTATACCATCATTTCATTCCAGCTTGTAAGAAGCAACTCAGTAAAGGTAAAATGAGACTAAATGTATTCCCTTTATCTAGTGCCAATAGCTGACATCTAACTCCAATCATCTCACAGCCATCAAAAGGTAAGTCAAATCATGTTTTATTTTGCTATTTTATGTAAAATTCAAGTGTCTTCAGTATTATTAGTCCAGTTCTGTGCCACGTGATCCTTTAGAAGTCATTAACTGTTTTTTTTTTTTTTTTTTAAGTGTCAATGTTGAAATCAGTGCTGCTTTCATTTATCATTCAGTGGAACAATAAAAAAATCAGTTTCACATTAAAGAAATCTGAAGTGTTACCAATGGTTAATGATTGACTGATCAAAGCAGCACATAAAGATCAGGAATTTCAAAAGAGACATTTATCTAGTTGATTTATTAAGAGTTCTATCATTACACCCGTTCAAATGATAATAAAAATAGTAACAATATCAATACAACTATTTCCAAGCACGAGTAACATATATGTTTAAATAAAGCCCTACGCATATCCATTTTATCTGTTCTCAGTTAAATGTATGGTATTTAACAACTTTGAATTTTTTTTTTATAATTCCCAAATGATGTTTAACAGAACAAGAGATTTTTTCAGTTTTATTTCAGCTAGAATAAAAGCAGTTTAAATTTTTTAAAAAACTATTTTATAGTCAAAATTGTTAATTATAAAATTATTTAAGCTATTTTTTTTCAGATAGTCTACAGAACAAGTAATCAAAGCTATTATGTTTAAAATTTGCTCAAAAAAAATCTTCTCTTCGTTGAACATTAATTGGGGAAAAAATCAACAGGGAGGCTAATAATTATGACTTCCACTGTACTTTATTCGAGCTTCAATACATCTTTAGTATGACAAGAAACAATGGATGCTCTTGACAGAGTATAGCATTACTGTACATTGTGTAATAGCACACAATGTAATAAAAATTTGCCACACCTAGAACCAGGTCTCCACATTGTTTTGGCCATGTTGCTCATAGGTTCAAATTCTATTTTTAAGCGTCACACCTATTCCTTAATCAACCTTGGTATTTACTGTTTGTTATTCATATTATTACATTTTCTTTTATTCATTTTTTTTTTCTTGAAGCCTTCTCTAAAGTATCCTTCATGATGGAGTCATCAAAACACCAGGCATTACGTATTGTCTCTTGGAACACTATGGGAATCAGGTACACAAAAGAAAAAAGCTCCAAGCTCCAGCTTGTGTTGGATGATCTCGCCAGATTGAAGGCTGATGTTGCCTTTCTACAAGAAACTCATATTGGACCGAAGTGTTACAAGGCACTAGAGGACATACCAGGCTGGAGGTCTTACTTCACTGTCCACCATCCTCGCAGCAAAGGAGTTGCTATCTTGATAAAGAAAGGAACAATATTTCGCTACCTTTGCCATGACGAGGATTACAGCGGAGGTTATATTGTCCTCTTCTGCCGTTTTCATGCTCAGTTGTATACTCTTGTTAATGTGTACAATCACCAGGCAGACAGAGATATGCTGGGCAGACTGAGAGACTATTTGACAGCTATTAACACTAAAGGTGTGCTTGTGGTTGGTGGAGACTTCAACACAGTTCTGGACCCAGCATTTGACAGGAGATCATCAGCAGATCAAGCTTATCAATCCTCATTAAGAAGCATTCTTGAAGACTTCACACAATTTCTGAGTCTTGAAGATGTATTTGCATTAAGGCACCCAATGGAAGAAGGCTTCACACGATCTCAGAGTCAGAGTCATTCAAGGCTGGATATGTTTTTTCTGCCAGAGAACATAACACAGTATGTCAAAAAATGTAAGAATGTTAAAGGAACAATGAGAAAATCTACAACTGGAAACAAAAGGATCTCTGATCACGATCCTTTAGTTTTAGAGCTAAACATTCCTCCATTGTTGGAATATAAAATACCGGAAGTCGCCTCAATGTTGACGGGATTTAAACATGATGGAGCTCCAGACAGAAGAGCTGGGAAAATAAATGCTGCAGAAATACTTAATGCCATCAGATCTTTACCTGACTCACAGCAGCAACCACCAGATAAGCTCAGTGTTTATGACTACAAGAAGAATGATCTTCCACTGACAGAAATCCTAAAGATAAACTACAACTTAATGCTCAAGAATAAATATGTTCCTGAATGTTTTGTAGAGTCATTGCCTAATTCAGACGGTAGTTTCAACATTGACTATTTGATTTTCACTCGCATTTTAGCCAAACGCCTAAAGGTGTTTCTAACACCTTCTTTTAGGAAAGTAAACAGAGTGTCACACAGTGGTTGCATTGTTGTAACTTTAGCAAAAGGCCCCCAAAAAATCAAGAGGACTTTCTTGCAGGAAAGTCTCTTGTCTCTTAAACACATTACTCCTATACCTCCAAAAGACTTTAGCATTCTGGAGAATCTCCTCCCCAAGTCTCATGACTACAGAAAACTTCGTCAAGGCTGCACTCTGACCACAAACATTTTCACAATGGCATTGAAACACCTGGGAAATAAGATTAAGGCAACAAGCAAAAGCTCTGACAACATCAGTATCTGCAACCACAGACAGTCCTTGTTAATCTATACAGATAATGAGAACATTGGCAGGATTCTTAAATTGTTGAAAGAATTTAATAAAAGTTCTGGTTTAATAATCAACTTCAGCCCCAAGCCACGATAATCAAGATCCAGACACAACCTATCGGGCAAGTTATGTTCAAAAAATACCCAACAGACATCAAAATTGAAAGGAACTGGTTAAAAAAAAAACGGGTAAAACTAATCAAACCAACATCAAAATATTGGCATGGTGTTGATTTCATTCATTTATTTTCTTTCGGCTTAGTTTCCTATTTATTAGGGGTCACCACAGTGGAATGAACTACCAACTATTCCACCATGTTTTATGCAGCGAATGCCCATTCAGCTGCAGCCCAGTCTGGGAAATTGTGTTGATTTGATATACCAGCCTGATCTCAAGAAGAAACATAACTATTTTACATTTTGTCAGTTTGGTGGCTAATTCATATGAATCCATACGTGTTTAGTCAAACAAAAATGTACACTGTTAAAGAGAAGGTGTGACACCCAACCCCACCCCTGAACCCAACCATCATTGGGGGATAAGCAAATCAAATGATTTCATTTGAATTAGCCATTAAATCAAAAAGTTACGAATTGCCATGAGATAGCATTGAAATAAAAATAAATATTGTCCCATATTAAACCAATATAAGTCTTTTAACTTTATTTTCACCAGTGAAAAGTTATGAGAAAGTTATACCAAATGACAGCATTATGATCAGATCTTGACAAATATTTAATATCAAACTGATATTAAAATACCTTGGGAAACACATTGTGTGAATACAAGCTAAGTCTCTCTTTAAAAGTATTTAAAGTTTTTATGTGTCTGTCTGTGAAAGTATTTTTATTTTTATAATACAACCCACATATAATAATGTCTCCTATTTAAACTGCAATTTAATGTGTCATG